CCATGAACTTCTGACAAATCACACAAAAAAGTTCTTATGTGGAGTTGGTACCTGGTTGATCAGCTGTTCGGTACCAGCTTCAGCTCGGCTACAGCWGGACTCTCCCCCGCTGTCAGCATCTCCTAAGTTATTCCCATAACATGAAAAGAATCACATTTCTTTTTCTGTCTCCTGACAGCACTAGTTGATAACAGAATAATCACAACTTTCCCGAGGGTAGGCATCCTGGGGGGGGTTGTCCCAGCGACTTTGCTGAAATGTGGTGTGTTTGAGGAAATGGGAAAAATAGGTTTCATGGTGCAGTCACGCACTTCCTGGTCACAAAATGTTCTCTAAATGTGCACCAAATGCGTAAAAAATGTGCACATTATGGCAAAAATTATCCATCATTAATTTTTTTTTATTTGGAAGTAAATGAAAAATAAAACCATATGAAAACTTTACTTTTATGAAGTTTGAATCCAGTTCAAATGAACACTGAAGGCTCTCACTGTTTTTTTACAGAAGTCCTATAAATGCATCACAGCTTTGCCAAACTAAGAGGGTTAAAAGAAATAAAAATTCCTGTATCTGCACCKTGATCCGGAACATCATCAACATTTAATGGTGTGTTCCTTGGGCCAGTATCCACATGTGGTAAAATGTCATGCAGTTTTATCCACCGACAGAATGACCGACATACGCGACCGAAAAAACATTACCTCCCCCGATTGGCGGAGGTAAAAAAAAAAAAAAAAGATTTGTAGCTTGCCCTACTTTTCCACTTGAGAATATGTATATTTGAATTTTCCTACTCAGCTCTCCGATCATAGCTGAGGAGTATAGAGTAAGAAACTCTGTTGTCCACCAGGACTAAAGAAGTGACTTGACTCAYGTTGCTTCAGGTTCAATGACCCAGTTAATGCCACCTGGCAGATAAACAGACAGACGCCTTTTGCCTTGTAATGTGTTTTATCCCAACAATCATAAACTGAACACTTCTTGTGGTACAGTTGAGCTTATTATTGTCTGCCAATCCCMTCCTCTCCGTCCCTTACCTTACTCTCTGTCTTAAAGCAATAYACTCCTAACTCTTAACTGCTCTCATAGCAATAAATATTATGTGGGTTTCAGGCGTATGACTACTTTACTTTAGTTAACCTGCTTATTGGGTTTTGTCTGTGTATATCTCTGCAGGAACTCTTTACAGCAGAATGCAAGTTTAAAGAGTCAGTGTTCGAGAACTACTACGTGATCTACTCATCCATGTTGTACAGACAACAGGAATCGGGGAGAGCATGGTTCCTAGGGCTCAATAAAGATGGCCAAGCCATGAAGGGGAACCGAGTGAAGAAAACGAAGCCAGCTGCTCACTTCCTGCCCAAGCCATTAGAAGGTAAGAGGGCTACATGATCTAATCCAGAAAGCTTGAGTTTGACTTGAATTATAACTGCTTATGAATGAAATAGGTATTTAATTTATAGCATATTTTTCTTTTAGTCTTTCTGTTGGTCCTTTAAAATAATTCCTCGGATCATCTGAACTTGGGTTTTGGGGAATAAATATATTTTGGAATGACTTCAGTTTGAAAACATGGAGTTTAGTTTTGACCAAATTRATGAGCTAATGGCTAGTCAGAGTGTGGCCAAAATCAAAATGGATTACGCCTTCTTAAAACAACTTTAGTGTCAAACATGCAAGTGCATGTGTCACCTAGATAGTAGTTTTTTTTTGCTTGGTTTATATCAAACATGTTGTACAGACAATCAGTTTAAGCAATGCAAACTTAAGGCCTCCACCTACCCCATCCAAAGACGAACACTTGATGCGYGGCCACATGCTTGTTCGGCATTCGTTTTTGCAYACACCTTTCATAGCTTCTGAGATGCACTGAGCCAAGCTCCTGGGAAACCCCTCCCACTGTGGGATATGTCACAACATGGAGTTTCTTCCTGGTGGAGACTGCACTCAAGAAAAAAAAAGGAAAATAAAAAAAATATACTCAGATCTGCCATTATTTGTACATACATCTGTCCCAGKTAAAGCTCTACACTTCTCCGCAAAAATGTTTTTTTCCAGTGGGTTGTGACTAGAAAGGTGGCAGATTCAAAGCTGCGAACAGAGTGACGACAATGTTTATCATGCAACTGTGAGAATGAGAGCCAATTTCAGCAGTTCGGATGGACAGAGGCCTTATCAACCTTTACCMCAAGAAACTTGAATTCACAAACCTGTTCTCAATCAACCTTGTTTATTTGCATCTTTACTATTTGATGTATTTCTCCAAATTGAGTTCATTCAAGAARCTATCTGCAACTGTTGTAGTAGTAATTGTTCAAAACCTTCCCACAAATCCCATTTCACAAAAATATAAACATCTATAAGCTCTTTTTTCAGCTTTGAGTGCTAGCAAAATATTTGTTATTCAAGTAGTATATGTAGGTTAAAATAGAACAATGGAAATAGCTGACATATATATATAT